GTGTGTGTGTGTGTGTGTGTGTGTGTGTGTGTGTGTGTGTGTGTGTGTGTGTGTGTGTGTGTGTGTGGAGAACAACATGACAGCTCATTTAACTGCAGCAATGGAGAAAAGGCTACTCGAGCAGAAGAGAAAGTTAGGGCTAACTTTACCACAAACTTGTTCTGCAACATTAACAGACTCGCGGTGAAATAAAAATAATAATAATAAAATAACGAAACATAGGCGTCATAAAACAGTAAACGGCTGTCCTTTAGATATCATGTGCTTTATGGTAATTTAGAAACATGACAACATACCGCCGAGCATCACTTAACACGCGCTTGTTTTGAGAGAAGCCTGTCAACACAGAAGCAGAGACCGACCGCTCGAAGTCCAACAGTGATGTCGTCACTCTGGCGCGACGACGAATTGTAGTTTTTTGCCTGGCGTGGTCTTAGCGTTTTAAATATGCTCTATAGAGCCTGTTAATAAATGGAAACGTAATTTAATACATAAATTAATAAATAAACCAACATAATGCAGTTTCAATAATTTAGGCATAACTAAAAACTAACAATAATTAGTTTAAAATAAGTTTTTCACTCATTTGTTAGAGAATCCATGGTAGCCTAACTTTTTTAAAGCACAAGTAGCAGCATTTACTATTTTCATATACAAARTGCTATAAAATCAACTGATGTAATGGACAAATACTTTTCAGTGAGTTTTAGTTCAGCTGACAGCTGCAAAAAAATCTACTTTTGCTTTAATGCTTTCAAAATAATTTGATTTTATGGCAGACTAATGGTATCATATTCCTGCACTGAAAAGCCTCATTGTTTATTTTAATACCATGGTCTTGTGATAGTATTAAAATGCTTTTATTTTAATATAATTTCAGTTCTGGACTTTCCAAGTGTTCTGAAAGTCCATTTATTATAGGAGCATAAATATTTTATCCACAAATGCAGTTTGGTGAAGTTATACGATGCTTAAAAACCAAATAAAATAATAATTAATAAATACACACTGAGGTGTTTGAGTGCATATATTAGATTTTATTTAGTTTCTTCAATGACAATGTATGCATGACAAGTAAAAAGTCCATATTTAGTAAAAAACACAAAAAAATATGAGCCAAAAAGAACTGATTGGTGCAGTCTAGCTGAATGCCACTAACATAACACAGTTTTCAGATTATTTCAAAAACAGGAATACGTTTTGTTTAATATTTAATACACAGGTGAGACAAGCTGCATAGGATTTTGTTCAACAAAACAACTAAAATAAACAACAAATAATAAATACAAAGAAGAGAATTAATATTCTGCATAAAATATATTCCCATTAATGAAAACCTATGTACATGGCTGAAACAGATTAGGAACAGTGACATCATCTTGTTCGTGTGATCAGATTTTTGCAGTAAATCATTTCTCCAGTAGGAAACATCGTGACATTGGGATGCATGTGTGTCCACTTTTTTTTAAAATATTGCAGTTCTGGTTCTTAACTTGATAAAGGAAAATAAATTTGGCACTTTGTTTTAAGGAAAAATGTGTATTTACAAACKGCTGATGAAGCTACTGAAACAGATTTCTACAGTACTGACTATTTTCAATCAATTCAAATATCATTATTGCTTTGATTCATCTAAAAAAAATACTTTTCCTAAAATCAAAAGAAAACACTTTTTCACACCTTTGTAAACATCTTGCTCATTATTTTAAGCAACACTATTTACACAATGTGGCTTATTCTAGATATCAGTATAATTTAGGCAACCAGAAACCTGCCTTGTGTGAGCTATAGTAAAACTCTGTTAGCTGCATAGTTAAAAACTGTACAACAGAAAAAAAGAGACAGTAGAAAGCAGGAATTTGTACCAATTTCTCAAGTGTGCAATCAGTCTGAACCGTAGTTTCAACTGGCACATGTCATGCAGTAATGACCACAGTAACATTTTAGAGGCTCTCAGCAAAAAAAAAAAAAAAAAGATCATCTTGTACAAAATGACTTCGGTAAGCCTCAAAAAGCTTCAACTATAGAGCTCATCTAAATAAACCTTTTTATTTGGGAGTTTAAATACATGTACATACAGATCACAAGAATCAATGTTGCGTGTATGCACGCACATTCAGACACATTTATACACACAGTCTTCTGGGAAAATAAAAAAAACAGTGTAGCTGTACCAACCCAGAGGGTATTTCTGCAGCATTATTGGACGTTGAAGATTTTACAGTGAAATGCTCAATAAGCAACACTTTGCTTGTATTTCCYCCTTCCTCTCCTCCTGTGCTCCTTCTCCCTTTCCATCCTCCTGCAGACACGCCACGGCCTCATCATAAACGTGGAGCTGCAGTCGACAATAACGCACAGCGCTAGATTCCCAATCCTCCGTGTGGAAACTTCTCCAGCTCAGATCATTTCAGAGATGTCAGCAGCAGCTCTTTTTCAGCATAACTTCAATTTTTTTTCTTTATTCCACCACCACCACCCTTTCAATTGGGTGACAATCTCCTTTTCCTTTCTGCAGCACTCTCCAACAGGCTGTGGTGTTTCAGGAGTTCTCCTCCGGAGCTCTGCGGAAACTTAGGCGTTTGAAGGAATCCCTGAGAGAAGCAGAGGACAGTAGATGAGAGGGAGAGAGAAAATGACAGAAGTACAACAAGAGGAATGATGAGGAGGAGGAGGATGTGGTAAAGCATTCGTGGCAGGATAAAGGAGGTTAAAACGTTCACGTGCAAAGGACTTTTGGATCAGTCTTTGTTCTTTAAACGGGCGAATTTAAGTTGTTGTTTTCCCCAAGTAAATAGTTTGCACAGTATTGTACGGTTTTAAAAAAACACACAAACAAAAAACATTTATCTCCTGAAACTTTCCTCACTCTCCTTGTTGTAAAGAGATACTTTATTATTATTAATCTTTTTTTTTTCTTTTTTTTTTGCCATTTATTGGTCCCTAACAAAAAGATGTGCTTTTCTTAGGCAAGGGAGAAAATGATCTGGAAATAATGAAAATCAGAAACTTTGCTATGATCRGGAACATAGCGAGGTTTATGATTGGCTTATAATCTATTTAGAAAAACRTCACTGGAGAACTGGACTTTGAACTATGGACTATGAACTTTGAACCCCCGCTTGCATTCACTGCATACACATAACATGACACGGGTCAGATGATGGGGCACATGACCCTCGATGAACAATAGAACTAATCAAGCCTATTGTTYGGTGATGGCCCTCTTTTGCATATGACTAACTTGTTTGTCCAMGTGGAGGCAGCACTTATACGGCTGAGTTCACCTGAAACTCATCAGACTGGAGAAGTCTCTTGGAGGAGAGACGAAACGTTTCGCGAAAGAAGAACCCATCCAGAGGACCTACTTATTTTTCCTTTTGACTCACTGGAGAAGTAACAAAAGATGTCACTGTCAAGTAAAAGACTTTTTACTTCTTTTCTTTTATCTGGTTTTACGTATTTGCTCTGTTCACTTTGCACTTTATCTGTGTAGACTGATTTATTTCTACTGTKGTCTCGGGGCTTGCTTTCTTGGATGGACAGCACCAAAAAATGGTCATTAGCTCAATGTATATTTTTTTATGGTACTGAGAGCAAGCATAACATTTTGTGCATTCACCATTGAGTATCTTGTTCTCAGGATGGATTAAAGTCATGACGGTCAGTCATAAAACAGACTTTAATATGACTGTTGGTACTTATTTGTGTGCAGTTCCTGGAAAAACGCAGTGTGACATTTGGGACGTCGAATCAGTTCAGCTTTCAGAGGTTTCCTCCTCYTCACTTCATGGTAAATCCCCACCACTCGCCTGTCGGTGCAGCTTACCTGTTCTCCAGGCGAGGCCTGATGATGGGTTTGTAGAGCTCAGGAATCTTTCGCTCCAGCATCGGCCTCAGGCTCTCTCTCAGACGGTTGTAGTTCTTCTTCAGCTCCTGCTGGTACTCCTTCTGGTCCGATGTGATCAAGTGCTTGTTCTTCTCAACTGCTTCACCACACCTGTATGACAGAGATCAGAGCAGCTGTTATAAAAAAAAAGCATTTCTTCACATGAAAAAAAAGGTTTATTCCCTTTTTATTGAGTGACGCTTCAATTGATATTCTATCTCTCCCCAATTCTTCAGAAATAAATATGAACAGTGTAATACGATTTAGCACATCAGTTTCCAACTGCAGGAGATTTCTATGCACTGACTGGCCTGGAGGAGACCCTGCGACCTTCTCGCTGAAAGACGACGGCTCTAACCGCCGCACCACTGTGCCGCCTTCCGAGTATGCAAGTAAAACAAGTAAAAATTTTTATCTTCATAACAAGGCTTGATTTTTTTTTATGCATGAAAGAAAACATTCAAGGACCTGAGCTGAGCTAAGTAAAGGGTCACTCCTCACAGCACTCCATCACAACATGCATAATGACCAACATAAAGAGGCTTCTGCAGGAAATCAGAGAGAAGGCGCTGATTGCAAACACATGCCTGAGTTTATTTCCTTTAATGAAGGTAATACAGAAACTGCACTGTTGTGTAACAGCATTTATCAAAATTCTCAGGGGAGGGAGCAGAAATGACTGGCACAAAGCATCTGCAAATATTAAATAGTATTTCAGCTAGGTAATTCTTTTTATGAGCACTAACAATATTAAGAGTCATTTCCTTTTTGTAAAAAAGAAAAAACAAAGGTTTGCRTCAGCAAAAATAAGCTTGATTTGCACCATGACGCCCTTATTTTTGAGATAACTTCAGAAACAACCTAAAATACATGAGGGCACATAACTAAAATTTTGATAATGAATGGAGAAATAACAAAGAATATATAAAACATTGACTTATTGGATATGAAATGTGAAGATTTTTGCTGAAACAACCTAAAGTGTAATACTGCTGGTGTCCACTAGGTGCTCATTCTGACATTATCTCCAGCTCCAATTTGCTCAGATATCAAGTTAAAAAATTGCTTTCGCATTTATACGTGTTTTTTTAATCAGTTTGCTAATGTTCATTTTGAAGATATTTAAAGTCACTCTGACCTGTCAACTTTCCTGTTGCCTTTATTTGTAAGGAGTTCAAACAGAAAAAAAGGTTCTGAGTGTAATGATTTTTTCTTTATTTGCCCCAAATTTCTTGTATAAATTTAAAATTTTTAACAGCCACAGCATGAATCCAGGGTAAAACCTCTTGAACTGTTCTTGAGAAGACAGCTGTTTTATCCATTTGCATAATGCTGCTAATCACAGTGTTAATACAAATACAGCACATTAACCAGAGAGGAAAACTTCAAGAGGACTGCTGGTGTAAGATCTAAAGGTAAACTGAGTGAAAACCTCTCTTTCCTACTTGCTTATTATATTTAACTGACCTGTTTTGTGTTCATCCTGTCTGTTTTTGAAGTTTTATGATGGGTTTTTTTAATAACTGTGACCACCCTGAGCAATCTGAGCGAGACCTGTAATCCCTCAAAGTCAAATTTCACTAAATAAATAAATAAATAAATAAATAAATAAATAAATAAATGTATGTTTGAAGGTTTATTCTGTGTTTCCAGCTGCTGAGCCTGTGCCACAGTAACAATAAAAAAAAATTAAATTAAATTAAAAATCAGAAATTAAGCTGGTAAACTCAAGGCTTTCTGCTCATCACAAAAAATGGTTATGATATTTTTACAAGGCCGGTCTTTTTATTGGTTCTTTTTTTTTTTTTTTTTTACATTTTTTGCATGACCTTGTTGCCTTCTGAATCTCCAGGTGGCGAGCCTTTGATCGTGTCTTACCTCATTATAAACTCTTTGAAACACAAGCGCAGTTTATTGTGGTGACGGAAGAGCTTCGGGTCTGCTGGGATCTCATTCAGGAAGACCTGGGCCACCTCCAGCGGGCCCTGCGACGGGAGCGAGCAGGGACAAACACAAAGGGGACAGGGTTAGACAGAGGAAGAAAGAGAAAGCGAAAACACTGCAGGGGAAGGAAAGAGGGGAAGTGTTTGGAAGTGTGCGGAACAAAAGGCGCGATTGACAACGCTCCTCGTTTAGAAAAAGGGAGGAAAGGGAGCTGAAAACTTTAACGCAGCTAGGAGACGAGACGTACAACTAGGACATGAGGAAGAGATCAAATCAAAGGAGGAGGCGTGATTAGCGTCCTGAATGACTAACGTCACCGCCGAGCCTGCGTACAGCCACCATTTGGCTGCCATTTACCCAGTATGAAATCTTGTTATCKGAACTTATATTCATCATAAAACCACAGCACGCTCGAACAATGCCTGCATCACGACAGGCACGGTTAAACAGCGCTGATTAGCACCATAAACGCATCGGGCCTGGGCCTCGGTTCCTGGGTCTGAGCTGCCGACCCACACACACACACACACACACACAAGAAAGCTAGCCTGCTGCACTGATTACAGCCAAGAGTTATATGTTTTCGAAGCTGCTGAGCATTAGCGTTATGTATACAACCATCAAGTCAGGGCGAGGGACCTGTCAGATTAGACGCAGCAAGACAAAGCACGGGACGACGGGGAGCAGAGACGTTAAAGCTAGCCTCGTCATTACACGAAACATTCGCCGTGCTGGCAGAACCTGGAAGCGATCAGATCAAAGAAACCTCCGGTTCAGCACGCCATGCAGAAGAGACATGAAAGGAAGAGGGGGACCATGAGCTGCCGCTTTAACTGAATCAGGAGGCAAGCAAAGGAAGGGCTCGGGTTATAGGCTTTGATGCGTGYTCCCTGTCTGGTTTCCCACCTGAACACTGTGACCACAATGCAAATGGCAAATGTGATTTCATTAGAAGACAAAGCAGTGGTCACGGGGGCCTTAGTGTTTTTTTTTTTTTAAGTGAAAATTTATTGCGTTAACGGGAGCGAACAGACAGCAGGGCATAAAAAGTGCGATGCTCATTACCTGGTTGACGGTGGTTCCCACAGAGCCTTGTAGCAACATCTGTAACATCTTAGCATCGGGTTGTTCTCTGTGTGTGGCTACTGCTAGCTCCCTAGTCTTCTTCTGCATGTCCTCTATGGCCACCTCAATAGGCGTGAGATCAAACTGGAAGCCAAAAAAAAGAAATACAAGATTTAGACAAGATAGAACTAAACAACACGCAGCTCATGTTCGGAACGGACCTCCTCCTTCTGGATGACGTTGATGCGAGTCTTGACGTAAGGGAAGGCGTGCATGGTGGTGAGGATGGTRTTCCTCTTGTACTGCTCGTTGAGCTCGCCGCGAGGCCGCCCGCTTTTGGTGAAGGGCGTGGTGTACATGAAGCGCCGCAGGTTGAAGTTCTTCTCGAAGTTCGTCAGGCGGTCTTTCATCTCGTAGTCGTCAAAGAAGGGCTCCACGTAAGTGATCTGGATATACGCCTGGAGGAGGCGGTCAAATTCATTTCATTGCTTCGAAAGTCACGATAGTACCAGACTTTTAATCAACAGTCAGCAAACTCAACTTAAGGAAATTTGAGTTTGGTAGATTAATTCTTTGTTGTAACAATGCTTCTGGGTAATAAATCTTATATGGTTGGAAAGCTTGTTAAATTCCCTTTTAAATGGTGCCACATTTGTAAGGAACATGCATTTGAGGGATGAGCAGTAGAGATGAGGATGTGGGTTGCGCACATTTGTCAAATCTTCTGTCGTTGCCAAACCGCTTATTGTACTGTTGCTTTTGCTAAGATTTACATATAAGAATTATTGTTACAACAAAGAAATAATCTACCAAACACAAATTTCTTTACTTTTTGTGTAAAGTACACGTGTGCCATTTTAACTGTAAGTAGCTATGTTTACATGGACAAAAATAATCGGATTAAACGGCCGTTCGGAATAAAAATGCGTCATGTAAACTGCCCGTTACGATTATTCTGATCCAACTGAGCTCGACCCGAATGAATTTTTAATCCGAATGAAAAGGGTGGGTAATGCCGATTGATAATCGGAATGACGTTCATGTAAACACTTAATCGGATCATCTTATTCTGATTGTAGAAAACTGACCTGTGTGCATGTCTGCTGGCTTTCATTCACCAGGTTAGAGGTGGGACAGCAGTGCTCCAGCTGCGCTGCACCACGCAGAACTTTTCCTCCTCGCTCTCTTAACAGATGAAAAAGGAGGCAAACAGCAGACACTGCTTCGCAAAAAATAAAAATAAAAAGCATGTACTGCTTCATCTGCAGGCTGCAGCTCAACCGAGGAGACGAGTAACAACGTCTCTACCGTTATTAAAAGCTGACACGGGTCCGTCCTGAGCGCACAGAGGAGCTTTGTTTACGTTTGTAACACGGAAGTAGAGCTGACAGTTTACAACACTGCGCACTGTGCATGTAAACACTTTTCATMATCGGACTGTGTCCATGTAAACAGTACATTCGGATTATTTAATCCYAARACATTTCAATCCGATCAAAAAATTTTGTGCATGTAAACATAGCTAGTGTCGGACCCCCRATCTTATATCTGCATTCCCAAAAGWTGAATCCTTTAGAGCAAAGCAACTTTTCAGATCCAACATGGTCTAGCATCTTTAGTGAAACWTACATTTAATTTAAACATTATAAAAAAGTGGAAAATCTGAAGTAAAGTCAATGGAAAATAACCAAGGACACACAGGTCCAGTGAAATATTTCTTTCCTTCTTCTTTTGTCCTACCCCTCACTGATTCATTAAGCACACATTGCACAACATGCAGTTTTGCTCGGGTCAAGCACTGGACAGTGAATGAAAAGCAGCTGAAATCCAAAGGAAACCCTTCAAGGTGATTTGTTGTGAAGACAACGTGAACTATAATGAAGTCTGGCTCCTTAGAAGCAGAAAGTTAAATAAAAATCCGGATGATTTGGACACGTTTGCTCAGTGCGTCACATACCTTATTGGGGTTGAGCTGCTTTCTGTCGACTGGTATAGAGTCCTTAATCATCACCAGAGTGTCGTCTTTAAAACACTGACTGTAGAAGTTCTAAGAGACGAGAAAATAATATCATCTTGCTATGTTTTCCACACTATAAACACTACCTGTGTATAACACAGACAAATCACATGCACTGATTTTTTTGCTGTTTAGAACTATTTGTTTCTAAAATGCMCAAGGAGTTATTATATGCAGAAAACAGCTGATCCACTGCTTTGGTAAGTACCTGACGCTGACTGGAATGAATTCTCCTTGAAAACATGTAAATGATTTTTCCAGGCTCCAATAAAACTCACTAAAACCAGATGTTTAATTGCTACTCTCGCTCTCTGTCATTATGTTCGTTCAAAGGTTCTCTGTTATTATCAGATTTCATCAGTCTAAAGAGGCACCACGTCTTCTCTTCCCGTGTATACAGCTGCCCCACTTTTTCATCCGCCGTACCTCCAGCCTGTGCGATATCTCCGGTAAATGTGTGATGCCCGGCTCCTTGTAAATAAATTCCCGCTCGTCCAGGTCGCCAAACTTGGCTCCATAAAAGCCCACGCGGAAGTAGGTCCCGAACATCCTCTTATGGCCCTGGAGAGAAACAAGAAGATTTTTATATTGGACTCTAATGGGTGTGATTTACGTAAAATATTTTTCTAATTAATAGGATGTTATTGTTATTGACTTTTGGGGGGATCAGGTCAGAAACAGAGAGGGCTTGTAAATAATAAAAAAGCACTACCAACTCTTCTTAAGGATTATACGTGGTTCTAAAAGAACAAAGATCTTGACTTTATCTTTTTATTTCTTTAACTGCAGCAGAATCAAAAATAAAGATGTTGTCTTTTACCAGTTACCTTATTGATGATGTTATCAAAAGCTCTGTGAAGTTTGTCGTGCGTGGACGACAGTTTTCTGAAATCCCTGCGAGCCTCTAAGATCGGTATGATGATCTTGTAGACCTCGTTCACGGCCTCATAGAGACCACCCTGATGAAACAGACATCACAGCTGTACTTGAGGATTTAAGTATGTTTTTTTCTTTTCTTTTTTTTTTTTTTGTAGCCTTTTAGATTGACGTTCAAAACTGAGAGGTTTGCCGTCTTACGTTGCTGAAGAGCTCGGCGGCCTGCTCCAGCAGTCCCACCAGGCCGCTCTCTGTGAAGTAGCGCCCCGAGCACACGCCGTCCTCATCCGGAGACAGGATGTCATCCGACACAGCCGACTCCTCCAGCACGTTGGGGGAAATGTTCTGAGCAGGAAAAAAAAAGAACAAAAAAAATCAGTGAGCTAATCAATGAGTTAGTCCACTTAATCAAAAAATCAATGGCGTGGCTTAAAAGCACATGTCCTACAGTGGCGAGAGGAACCAATCTGACGACCGTCCAATCAATGATCTGCTGACAGCGGCAGGTTGGCGTGTCCTGTGCTGAAGGTGTGTGTGTGTGTGTGTGACAGCTCAACGACGACACCATTATTTTTTTAACTGATCTAGCTGCTTGTTTTTTAATTCATTTTCAATTTGAGGAAATTGATTTCAAACTTGTTCCAAAAGAAGCAGGTTTTGCTTGCTTTGTTTTCCTACACTTTTCTTCAAAAGCATCATGTTGTGTAAAGATGTTGGGTGTATATCTTCTCCTGTTGGTACGTGGCTGATTTAGCTTCATGTTTACTTCTTTAAAGGGGCAATATCATGTAAAATCAACTTTTTTGAGTTTTATATCAT